GGGTCTCCTGCGTCTGCAGTTGCCATGCTATCTTTTGGCTGTTTGTTGTAGCTGTTAGGTTGACTCGCAGCACTTCAACAAGCGTGTTTTTTTTTTTTTTCGCTTGGCAAGCCAAGCTGATGTGACATGGGGGCGTGGCAGCATCGACGATTCCATTTTTTGATTCGATAATCGAGATTGAGCATGAATTTCGATCGATTTCGATTTAAAATCGAAAACGTGACACCCTTACAGATTACATTATCAAATAATCCATTTAACATTAACTTCACCGTTAGCTTACTACAACTTTACGTTGACATTCCGCCAGTTTAACAAGCAACAGTAAAATTTTATATTAAGTACGCCTAATACATGAGGCTTATGCTGGGCTAAACTAATAAACCGACATATTAACAAAGGCACTGCAACACTTAAATATGTAAACCACGGCAATCATACAAGGAAGTACACGAACCTGTAGGCAGCAAATACAAGTTGTATTATGGCAAGTCGTTTTAACATTTAATTGCTAGACTGGATATGTATTGCAGATATCTCTAATTCAATTCTTCCTAGTCAAAAAGAGCATTTCAGATATACACAATGACATTCTTCCTATCCACAATTGTCATTTCAGATATCCACAATGTCATTCTTCCTAGGAGAAATTCATGTCTATTGGGCTTTCAATTTCAGATATCCACAATTACATTTCAGATATATATAATTAACATTCTGGATATCCGAAATTGAATTCTTACTAGGAAAAACTCCCATTTTAGATATCTACAATCCAATTGTTACTAGTCATAATTTTAATTTCAGATATCCGAAAGGAAAAAAAACATTCCAGATATACTGTATATAATGTAGTTTTGAATATCCAAAAATACATTGTGAATAGTAAATATGTCATTACAGATATCCAGAATTCATATTATGACTAGTAAAAATGCAATTGCAGATATCTATACAATTAGAATTACGCCTAAGAGCAATGCAATTGCAGATATCTACAATTGTATTGTGGATATCTGTTGACGAGTAGATAGGAGCCCAATAGATATGAATGGCAAAAGTGACGTAATTTCTCCTAGGAAGAATGAAATTGTGGATATCTGAAATGACAATTGTGGATAGGAAGAATGTCGTTGTGGATATCGGAAATGCTCTTTTTGACTAGGAAGAATTGAATTACGGATATCTGCAATACATATCCAGTCTAGTGATTAAATGTCAAAACGGCCACTTATACTTTGTGAAAATTTAAAGATATCTTAAATAGAATTGTGACTAGGAGAAATAAAGTTTTAGATATCTTGAAATACATTTTCTACTAGTAAGAATGCAATTGTGGATATCTGTAGGCCTAATTGTCATTCTGACTAGTAAGAATATAATTTAATAGAAATGATATTGTGTATATCTAAAATGTAATTACGGATAGGAGTGTGACTTGATTAAATGTTAAAACGGCTTGCCATAGTTGTATGCCTTTATTAATGTTCGCTAAATGAATGTTCACTGCGTCCGAGGGACTCATTTACCGTTATCAGTATATAGATATATATCCCAACGTAAAACGCACCCTCATACAAGGCACATGTGTAAACTAACAGGTATATGAATACACATAACTAAAATGCCCGGCTCGGTATACCGGCCATTCTCTCTCGATATGAATTAAAGTCACATTACAAAATAGGAAGGGAAAGGCATAGCGGCGATGACGTTATGTTACGCGATGGCTCAGTCGAGTTCCTTATTGGTTGCGTATCCGATGACGTGGCCCATAGCAACGGAAAATGGACTTGCCTCGCGGGACACTGCTGAACAGAATAACAGCTTCGCTTAAGTGTGGGTGTTCTGTATTGCATTTGTTGTCATCTTCAGTGGTATTGATTGGTGTGGAATACAGAAATAATAGACCCCCCCCCCTCCAATAGGAGTACTAGCTCCAAACAATATTAAAGCATGTTAATACGTTGGTATAACAATGGTACACAAACAGCAACCCGAAAAAGACAAGTTAAGAACACCCCGAAAAGAGGCTGTTCACATAGTCGGATTGCAGAGGTAACTTCATATATTCCTCATTAGAAACACCGCTATTGCATTAATTTAGAAAAGGCCCTGAAATAAAAAAAAAACGCAAAAAGTGACAACAACCTAACTAGTTTCTGTTAATTTCATTACATTATCGAGGCAGGGCCTCGAAGCTGCCGCTCCCTCAGACAGGGTGAATGGCGGTTCCAGAAAAACAGCTGGTGTAAAGCGACACATATATAGGGAGATATAGCGATATAAAGTTTGTCAGAACTGACATAGGAAAACATAGTTAAGCTAATAGCTTCGCTATTTGTAGCTACGCTACTGCCCAACAATGCCAATCGCAGCCTCAAAAATGCCCAAGGTGTGTCTGTGTATGTGTGTGTGGACAAAGCGTGTGTCCTATGCTGCCTGGGATAGGCTCCATGCCCTCGCAGCCCCGACCAGTGCACGCGGTTGTAGAAGCTATGGATACCACTGTAACTCCATGTGATCGTATCACTGGGGGAAATGAGCAGGGGACATAGCATGATTGGACAGCTTGGTTTCCAAAGCATATCTCTGATGTCCGATTCGCCGAGGTGGCGTAGGGGAGGCCAGCATCCATAAATACCCCATGGAAACAGAAGCAGGTTATAATACCGTTTTTTAGTTTTTTTTTTTTTAAGCTTTAAATGCTATATATTTTCAGTCTATTTTCTTCACGTCTGGAACTTTATTTCGTACTCATTCAACTGCAAGGATTTTTAAAATCTATTACGTTAATGCTGAACATTTTTATTCATTTTAAAATATTTATTTGACAATATAAAATATCCCACGGGAGTAACTATTGATTAGTTAATCAATTATTTGTGTCAGACAAGAGGGAGGATGTTTTATTATCCTAATGTTTTACAACGACATACCGGCTGTTTTTCAACTATATGGTGAGTCTTCAAGATCTTTTTGAACCTTAAAGTGATAATAGTGATTTAGGTATGCGGTGGCGCGGTGGTTAACCCTGTTGCCTTATATTGTCTGGGATCAGGGGTTCGAGTCTCTTAAGCGTCTCTGTGGGGAGTTTGTATGCATGTTCTCCCCGTGTCGCTGTGGGGTTTCCTCTAGGTACTCCGGATTCCCCCCACAGTCCAAAAACATTCTGAGGCGAATTGAACTTACCTAATTGCCCGTAAGTGTGAGTGTGTCCTACGATGAGTTGGCGCCCCATCCTGGGTTGTTCCCTGCCTTGCGCCCATCAATCGCACTATTAATAGTCTGTCGATAACACAGGCAACGTCGTATAGACACCAAGCTAATTTGCCATATTAAAGCGATTAGTTAATATTTAATACTTTACTCATTGTTCGTGGGCTGCTGTCACAGTCAAAACCGCTTCCCACCATTCAGTCATAATAGTAACAGCGGGTATATGTCGAGCAACGCCAATAGCATAATTTTTACAGTCAAAATACAATTATTACATTCAATCGCTGCAGTCGAATTAAGAGTGACACTTTCTGTATGCATCATCATTAATGATCGGGTTTATCTCGGGCATAATCAAACCAGAAATGAAACTCTTACGGTTACATACGATTTGTAAAGCGGACGCAGACTTAATTAGAATCAGTGATTTATTAAAAGATATTCTCCACCTCGCGTTTATGCTTCGGTTCCTCGACTGTATTTAATTGTATTTGTATTTAATATAAGGCAACAGGCCTATTAGAATAAAATGTTATCCCGAGGATGATGTGACCATCCACACACGCTCTTCGGGTGAATGGCTGTGTGGGTATGCGAAAGTTCGGCAGCTTAACTGAAAATGATGGACACTCGGTGTTGGACCGTGGCTATGAATCTGTCGGTCTCTTTCGTCCTTCAGGCTAGCAGCTACGAAGGGGATCAAAATAACCCGCAGGGATTATCTCAGCGTGAACATCCAGCGCACATGGTAACGTAAAACTGTATAAATGCCTGTCAGAGTGGGCGGTACGTTTCAGTTTATTAATGTGTGAATGCAGAAAGTACAGTATAATAATGGAATGTCAGTATAGTCAGGTAACCACACTGTAAAAAATGCCCCTGTTGCCTTATATAAAAAATACGGTAAAAATACCTTAAATGGCGACGGAAAAATACTGCAGAAAAAAAATCAGGTAAAATATAGGTGAAACCAAGGGCGTAACTTTGGCTGGAACATTGTGGGGGTTGAGGTCTCCACCCATTACGGGAGAAACATGATTATTGGGGGGAGGATTGTATTAGCTGGTTTTGATTTATTGATTTATACAACCCCACCCCCCATCCCCCCATAATTTACGCCCATGGGTGAAACATAGAAAAAGAACCGTAAATGTAAATACAAAATATTTATGTATATAATACATTGTTAGACTGTACAATTTTTAAAAATGCCGTAAAAATACTGTAAAATACCGGGAAAATACTGTAAATATCAATCAGGTAAAATGCTTTTTAAAATATATAAAATATTTCTAAGTATAAAATGTATCTTTATTTAATACGATTTGTAGTTGTAACATAAATTAATTTCAGTTACTGGTGTAATCTGTAACATGATAATGACGTGAGAATATGTGTTAAAATACAGTTTTATGTAGTTCTACAGTTTATGGAAACAAGGTGTATAGTATACCGTTATGGGGGCGACATGGTGGTGGCAGTGGTTAGCAGTGTTGCCTGGCACCTCTGGCACCTGGGCTCGAGTCTCTGCCTGGATTACATGTGTGTGTAGTTTGCATGTTCTTCCCATGTCGTCGTGGGGTTTCCTCCGGGTACTCCGGTTTCCCCCCGCAGTCCAAAGACATGCTGAGGCTAATTGGAGTTACTAAATTGCCTATAGGTGTGCATGTGTGAGTGTGCCCTGTGATAGGCTGGCCCCCCGTCCTGGGTTGTTCCCCGCCTCGTGCCCGTAGCTTCCGGACCCCCCGCGACCCAGAAGGATGAGCGGTTTGGAAAATGGATGTATGGTATACCGTTATACATTAAACAGTGCTCCTGTAATTTATACTATAGCGTCGGTGAACAAAGCGCCGTCTGGCTTATTTGCATGTATCCCAGCATGCCACACTGTCGTGCTGACAATGGCCGCTGCCTATGTTATGCATGTAGTTAATGTTCCAGGTTCCATGCATTGTATGTTCTGTATTGGTGCCCTGTTTAAGTTTAAGCTTGTCTGTTTGACTGTGTATAAGTTACCCACCATGTGTAGTTTCCATTGTTCGCTCTGTGACCCTCCCCCTGTTCCTCCTTTTAGAAGTAATGGTTGTTTTTGTGTGCTGTTATGCAAGCAGGTGTTGCGGTGATTGGTGTGATTCATAATCCCGTTAAGGGCTACGAATAAAGGAGCTTTAATCAGACTGCATTTGTGACGTGGCATTATGGCCGGTGTTCTGTCGAGTTGAGCTAGTTTGTCGAATTAGGCTACCGTAGTACTAATCGATATTCCTAACCCTAACTCTTACCCTAACCCTAAAACCCCTAAAACCCTTACTTTAACCATAACCCTAACCCCTAAAACCTAACCCTAATCCTAAAACGGAGGAACTGCACATGCGCAGAAAGGCTCGATAGCACGTCTCGATAGGTAGCTCAACTCGTCAGAACACCGGAATCAATGAATACAGTAGAAAATCTGCACCTGTACATTTTACAGTTACAATTTATAGGTTTTATGGTTTTAAACTGTTAGTTTTACATAAAAAAACATAATATTTTAATCTGAAAATGTTTGGAAAACAGTTTATTATACAGAATTATAATATGTACCGTATTACATTAAATAGTACTACTGTAATTTTTACAGTGACATTCTGGCAACCACAGCTGCCAGTAATTTACCGTAAATTTAATGAATTTTTTTTTTACAGTGCCATACAATATGTATAGATTATGTATTATGTATAATAATAACAATAATAATATGATTATTAATTATATATAATATAATTAATTCATTGTATAGTTATATATAATGAAAATGATAATATATAATTTTTATTTTTATGTGCAATCATATATATGATGATGGGCATAAATTACAGGGGGCTTGTAACTCCCCCAAGAATCAAAACTGGCTAATACATCTCCCCCCAATGATCATCTCTCCCCCTAAATGGGTATTGACCTCAACCTCCCCAATGTTCAAACCTAAGTTACACCTTTGTATACTGAAGGTCTTACTTGTTACAGTATAAATGTCTGAATTGCAATTATGACAAAGATTCCTTGCCACCTTGTCTGCTGACAGCAATGACATCATGGATTATGTGCTGGTCCGGGCCTCACCTATCCACCCTGGACTGCCCCGGCCCCGTTTCTCCCTGTACCTGTCGTCCCAGCTGCAGTTTGGCGTCATCATTGTCTACCACCAGCAGTGTGTCATTCTGCTGGGTAAGGGTTGGTTCAGCACAGACGGTGCAGCACAGTTAGCACAGGGAAGCACTGAAATGGGGCCCTCAGTGACACTCACTGGCATCTGCCGTTCCAGATGAGATCCACCAGACCATTGACAGACTGCTGCGCAGCCAGAAGGTGTCCAGGATTGACCTGGTGGAATCTGACAGGTCCAGGCTCAGAGGTTAATGCGCTCCCTGGGGATAGGCCCACCTGCAGCCACAACTGAGGCTCTGTCTGCTCCCACAGGTTTGTGCTGGCGCATCCTGACTCCTTAGCTGCCCTGGAGGAGACAGAGAGGGCGCTGGACCCCTTCTTTGGGATGATGAGACTCTCCTATGAGCTGCCAAGCCCCAACACACTGATAGAGGTATGCGGGAATGCTCGGGCTCCAGTCTGACAGGCGCGGAGGAGTAAATGCTGGGCCCGGCGATGCACACGGACACCTTTAGACGTGACACGCAGCACCTGAGTTATTCAGAGCTGGTTTGCTGGAGCTGTACTATTCACAATTGCCTTAATGACCCTGGGGATGGTACTAATGCTCTTAATTACCGATGATCTAAAAGCATTAGTTTGCTGCAAGGTCGATCTGACCTGTCTGTCGTTCTTAGCAATGGGGGATGAAGGAGCCCCCCCCTAAACCTGTCAGCCCTGAAATTCCCGCGGACGGTGAGTAAAGCCGCGAGGCTCCAGGCGGCTCTGTCCCTGTTTCTCCTCGTCTCCCTGCCCAATTCCGATCTGCCGCCCGCAGGCATCACCGCCTCCCCCGAATCCATCACTTTGAGAGAGGGTGAGGTCGTGCCGGTTTCGGAAATTCAGGTATCACCTCTATGAACCCGCCACTCCCCCCCCCAGCCCCTCCCTGCGGCATCCTGCTAACCCCCCGCCCTGCCCGCAGTTCGACGGTGTGGAGCTGCCAGAGGTGCTGGACATCGTCGACATGCTGCTAGAGCAGCAGGACGACTTTCCCACAGGTCAGCGGGGGTGGGAATGATGGGCTAGCATTCTGGGCATATGATGGAATTTTCTTAAAAACAGCACGCTGTGTCACTGCTGTGCCACACATACACAGCTCATTGCATATTTATAGTGTAGCATCTTCAATGCCTGTACTGATCATCAAAAACATGAACTTGCACATGTTGATACCTGCATATGCTTATCAGTCTGAGATATCAGAGGTGGGTTTTTGGGGGTCTTTTGGGCACAAGAGTAGTCCATTTTGCCACCAGTCTGTCAGGACACGTGACAGCAGGGGTGGGAGGGCCAATCAGGCATTAAGGCGGGGCCTTGTCTTCCAGAGGAAAGGAGGGACATTGTGCGAGAGGAGCTGAGGGAGCAGCCTGTCGCCGGGGTTTCCGTCGAGCAGTGAGTCACTGTCACAGTCAGGGTACAGCCAAACACTGCAGATACAGATAACAATGACTACAGCGCCCCCTTCTGGCAGACTCAGGGTCACAGACGACGACAGCATGCTGCTGCAGGTTGAGGAGACAGTCCTTCCGGCTCCGGAGGAGAGGGCAGCCTTGCCCATCATTGTGCTGAGCCCCCAAAGGGGATTAAGAGAAGAAGAGATGGAGAGGCGTGTAAGGATGGGAGTTTCTGTAGGATGGGGAGGTTTCACAAAGCCAGATTTCTTGCTTAGCCGGATAACTTAGTTTGAGCTGGATGTACTTTTATGTTTGTTCATTTACATTTAGCCCAGACTACCTTAAATCCAACAAGTAATCCGGCAAAGCAAGAAATCCTGGTTTGTGGAACACTGCCAAAGAAGGGTGGGTTGAGGCGGTGTATCCATGTT